TGAGAGCAGCACAGAAAATTATACAGAACCAAGAAACCAAGAACACCACCAAAAAACACATAACAAAATGACAGCAACAAATTTATACTTGTCAATAATTACACTGAATGTCAATGGATTAAATGCACCACTCGAGACGGAGAGCTGCAGAATGGGTAAGAAGACATAACCCATCAATATGCTGTCTACAAGAAACATACTTTAGAGACAAAGACAAAAATAGACTAAAAATCAAAGGTTGGAAAAAGATATATCAAGCAAATAGCAACCAAAAAAGAGCAGGAATGGCAATAGTAATTTCTGATAAATTTGACTTTAAGACAAAACCCACCATAAGAGACAAGGAAGGACATTATATAATGATTAAAGGATCAATCAAACAAGATATAACCATAATAAATATCTATGGACCCAATGAAAGAGCCCCAAAATACATAAATCAGACTTTAACAGAAATGAAAAGACAAATAGATGACTCCACAAAACTGCTGTCCAGTCGGATCCAACCCACAGTGAGCCCTCCTGGGGTTTCTGAGGCAGTATCACTATGGAAGTAGATTACCCAACCTTCCTTCCAAGGAATGGCTGATGAGTTTGAACTGCCAGTCTTCTGGTTAGCAGTCAAGTGCCTTAGGTACTATACCACCAGAGCTCCCCCACAGTCATAGTAGGAGATTTTAATGCACCACTTTCAATGAAAGATAGAACAACTGGAAAGAAATTCAACAAAGACGCAGAAGAACTAAACAATACAATCTATCACCGTGACCTTATAGACACCTGCAGAGCACTTCACCCAACAACAGTACAATATACATTCTTTTCTAGTGCACATGCAACATTCTCCAGGACAGTTCATACATTAGGCCATAAAGCAAGACTTAATAAATTTAAAAACACTGAAATACTGCAAAGCATCTTCTCAGATCACAATGCTATAGAATTAGAAATCAACAATAGGAAGATCAATGGATAAAGAGCAAACACAAGGAACACCCTCCTTAAGAATGACTGGGCAATAGAAGGAATAAAAAATAAAATTAAAACATTCCTTGCATCAAACAAGAATGAAAACACAACTTTACAAAATCTTTGGTACACAGCAAAAGCAGTGATCAGAAGCCAATTTATAGCAATAAATGCACACATCAAAATGAAGCAAGAGCCAAAATCAGTATCTTAACCCAACATCTCCAACTATCAGAAAAAGAACAGCAAAAAAAGCCTACAATCACCAGAAGAAAGGAAATAATAAATATCCAGCAGAAATAAATGAAACAGAAAATAGGCAATAAAAAAAATCAACAAGACTAGAAGCTGATTTTTTGAAAAGATTAATAAAATTGACAAACCACTGGAAAATTAACAAAGGAAAAGGAGGAGAGAAATAAACCAACTTGAGGGTTGTTTTTTTTTTCCATTTTCCCCAAATACACCAAGAACGTCTTCAAAAGAGCATCCCTGGACTCCAAAGCTTTGAACTGTAGGTACACTATCTGCCTTCATAGAATCTGCTCATCCCTGCTAGTAATCAAAGAAATATACATACAAAATTATTATTTTTGTCTGTGAAATTGGCAAGATGGAAAGTGTGAAAGCATTTAAAGTTGGTGAGTATTTAAGTAGTAGGTGATAATGCAAGTAGCACTCTTCTATAAGGGAATTCAGCAATATTCATCAAATTTTTAAACACATGTATTGTTTTGTAAAATAATTAGACTTCTAGAATTTATCTAGGTAGTACAATCAGAAATCTAAATATCCTTCAACAGGGACTGGTTAACTAAATCACGGTACTTTTGAACAATGGACTACAACAATAGAAAAAATAAAATTCACAATGCATTAAGTGGAAAAAGCACATTGCAAAATAACATAAACAGCACAACCTCACTGTACAAATGTTACCTATAATTTCTCCATGTTATCTATAGGCATAAAAAACAGCTGGAACAATATTCACCCTATTGCCAATAGCTGTTATCTCAAGGAAGGATGGGATTACAGGTGATTGCCACTTTCCATAAGAAACTCTGGTAGCGCAGTGCCTAAAGCATTTGACTGCTAACCAGAAAGATGGTGTTCAAACCCACCAGCCACTCCATGGGAAGAAGACAGAGCAATCTACTTCTGTAAAGATTTACCACCTCAGAAACCTAATGGGGGGGGGGGGTGTCCCTGTGAGTTGGAATCGACCCAATGGCAATAGGTTTGGTTATTTGGTTTGGTCACTTTCCATACAATCTATCATTTTTATAAGGATCCACTTATAAATTTAGAGGAAAAACTGGAACTTTTATTCAACTCTTACAAAGGACTGAAATTAGAATAGATAAAAGTGATTACAAAGTTAAAAAGAATGAAGGTTAGTAATTAGTATTTCAAATCAAATTAAACTATTGATAAAATAAAAAATACTGTTACCTAATATTTTTCAACTGAGATTCCACTTCATCAGCATACATGGTCATTTTCATGCTTTTCTTTGGTGAAGGAGTGGAAATCATTTTCAGTTCTAGATCATAGTCCATCTCATCAGAGTCTGAGCTGCTGGCACTGGACCGCCTAGATGCACTCTGCTCCCGGGCCGGCTTAATAGCTGGCAGCTCCTCGTGGTACTCTACTACCACCCTGTCGTCTGCATCCATGTCCTGGTCTTCCTCTACCTCCTCCTCTTCCTCTTCTTCAATGGGTTCCTCAGGAACATTTACTAGTCCTGAAGAAAGTTAATCAAAATCTATTAGGAAAAGGACTAAAACCAACAACTATGAAATTCTATTCTATGTCAGTGATCTTTTAAAAAATGTTGTTCCCATGCCTGAGACATAACTGGAGTAGTATCTGTAACAGTGTCAATCTGGATACAATTCTGACACTTGACAACGGGAGAATGGCTAGGTAAAGTGTGATCTAGCAGCCTAAAGGAATATAAAAAAATCACTTAAAATAACTTTAAATTAGTTCATGGAAAAATGCTTATGGTAAGTGGAAGAAACAATATAAAAGTAAATGTTCACAACAATTATAATATTTAGTACAAAAGTAGACAAATAGGAAAAACACAAAATAAAATCAATTATTATATTAGGGTGCTAGAATTGGGGCAATTTGTTTCTTAATTTCTTTAACATGAATATACAGATTATATGAAGAAAATATTGCACAGTAACTGAAATCGGAAGTGTTTTACTGTGTAACAGTATGTGCATTATTAATACTGCTGTTATTAGGAGCCGTTAAGTTGGTTCCAACTCATAGTGACCTTATGTATAACAATAAAATGTTGCTCAATCCCGCCCCATTTTCTTAATCCTTGCTATGTTTAAGCCCGTTGTTGTAGCCACTGTATCAATCCACCTCATTGAGGGTCTTCCTCTTTTTTGCTGACCCTCTACTTTACCAAGCATGATGGCCTTCTCTAAGAACTGATCCCGTGTCCAAAGTACATGGGCAAAGTCTTGCCATCCTCACTTCTAAGGAGCATTCCGGCTGTACTTCTTCCAAGACAAGTATGTTCTTTCTTCTGGTAGTCCACCATATATTCAATATTCTAATATTCTTTGGCAACACTATAATTCAAATGCACCAATTCTTTTTCAGTCTTCCTTATTCACTGTCCAGCTTTCACAAGCATATCAGGTGACTGCAAATACCATGGCTTGGATCAAAAGCATCTTATTTCTCAAAATGACATCTTTGCTTTTAAACACTTTATAAAGGTCTTTTGCAGCAGATTTGCCCAATGTAACATGTCATTTATGATTTCCTGCTTCCACGGGCATAAACTGTGGATCCAAGTAAAATGAAAACCTTCACAATTTCACTGTTTTCTCCATTTATCATGATGTTGCTTAATAGTCCAGCTGTGAGGATATGTTTTCTTTATGTTGAGATATAATCCATACTTTGATCTTCATCAGTAGGTGCTTCAAGTCCTCTTTACTTTCAGTAAGCAAGGTTTTATCATCTGCATACTGCAGGTTGCTAATGAGTCTTCCCCCAATCCTGATGCCATGTTCTTCATACAGTCCAGCTTCTCAGATTATTTGCTCAGCATACAGACTGAGTAAGTGTGGTGAAAGGATACAATCCTGATGCATACCTTTTCTGATTTCAAATCATGTAGTATCTAATGCTATTAAGATGTTGTTATTTGTCATCTAACCAGACCTGACTCATAGCGACCCTTTCCAAGGCAGTATCATTACGGAAGTAGATTGCCCAACCTTCCTTCTGAGGAGCGGCTGGTGGGTTTGAACTACCAGCCTTCTGGGTAGCAGTTAAGTGCCTTAGGCATGATGCTACCAGAACACCTATGGATATATACATTAATTAAAAATTTATAGGCATCACCTTTCCTTGTCTCTATTACAATGATAATGTTATAATGTGTTTGATGCTGATATGGCTAGTCCTACAAAGCACTGTAGATTCTACAGAGAAGGTTGAAAATAAAAACCCAAATCTTTATGTAACATAATTGCGCTTTTATAATAAGCATGTTAAGAAAACGAAATCTAGGTCATGATATCCCACTTTTCTATGGCATTCATAACACACAAGCCAGTATGTGTAACACCAGACACAGCAGCCCTATTTTCATTACTAGGCAAAGGAATAATAAAATCAGCTCATTTGATAAAATAACTTAAAAAGGTAATTTTTTCATGCAGCTTTTAATATTACTAGTAGACAAATTAGGCTCCTAAGGAAAGTTTTCTTTTAATTTTCCCTTATATTACATTTGGCCTTCTTTGTTAGAACAGCTTCTATAAAATCATTTAATCTCTTTGTATGGGCAATGTAAAATTAATCGTGACTTGACTTACTTTCCTATATGTTGGCAGAGGGTGAGGGCAAGGAAGATAGGATGATAAAGTTTGGAACCTTAAAAGATTGTGTTAAGAATAAAAATATGATTTCGGGAGCCAAACATGTGTCTACCCAAGAGCTGAGCAGGCAACTACCGGAATGTCGGTGTTTATAAGATGTCAAGCCAACGTCATCCCCAATCAGGGCTCTCTTCTTGATCACATCCCGCTGAATGCGACGGGAATGATATCTTCGCTTCCTGCAACATTGCCAAAATAAGCACATCATCAAAAACCAGCAGGAAGGACTCTGAAATCCATTAATTCATTTCAACTACACACCTATACGATGTTGTGCTCTGAGAGAGATGCTAAAGGAAGCTGAAACTGGGCACTCCCACACAATTTACCACACTTAAATATCTTGAATTCTCTCCTCTTGTCTTCCTTCAAGTCTATAAGTGGTTTTGAAACTTCAGTGCAGAATACCAACTGAAGGACTAAGGAAAGTTTAAATACTAGTTAACTATTTTATTTTAAGGTCATGGACTCACCAAGAATTGCTAAGAATTCCTTTCATGCCTCCATAATTTGGATTCCCATATTTCATGTAATATTGACTTCGTCTGGCTGCTCCAAGTTCCTTTTTGTCATCTGAAAATTAATTACAACAGTTATCTAGGATTTCCTGTGGGTGTGAAGACAATGTTGAATAGTTCATTAAAAAAAAAAGGAATGTTTCCCATAGCTGGGATCAGATCTGCCAAAAGGAATGATCCACTATCAACATTCACTCTCTGAATGCATATGGCAGTGCAGTGGGGAGGGAGTAGAGCTAAACACAGACAAGTTCAGTTACTGTTAAGGAGCTGACTGACTGAACAAAGGAAGTATCATACAAAAATAAACAACAATACAGATTACAAGATTCCAAAAAGCATAAGAGAGGTTCAGTTATTACAGGTGTTCAGGGATCAAAAAGGCTTTCTAGAAAAGGTGACATTTTAGCTGTGCCCTGAAAGATGACGATAATTTCTGAATGACAACACTCCAATAACACAGAATCAGAGGTAGAGAAACGGATCATACGTAATGCCATGTATTTAGTAAATCATTTTTGCTAGTTTATTGGCATAAAGACATAAAGAAAACAGCATAGTACCATATACCTAGAACGCACTCAAAGAGCTATTCAATCACCAAATGTAGAAAAGAGGTCATTTGTCAGGTTACAATACCCTTTAGTTGGAGAAAAGGGAGTTAGTAATCACACCTACTTTCATCAAATGCAGTAATTATAAAGGCCTTTGACAGCTCCTTGGACACTTTCTGACTGCAAAGGACAGACTCCATTATAAACACATCCAGTGCTATAGGTAGATGTGGCAACACAAGCTGTTACGTGCACCCTACCAAAAAAAAATCCCCACCAGCTCCTTAGAGTGATGGTTGATTCCAGATCTGGAGCAGAGAAAGCAAGAGTCTGGAAAAACAAGATGTTTTGCTGTGACACAAAGAAAGTGCTCAGAGAATCACAGGAATACGTCAAATAAACACGGCTTATACAACATGGATGAATTTTGAAAACATTATGCTGAGAGGGAAAGAAAAAAAAAAAAACCAAACTCATTACCATCAAGTCAACGCAATTGATAATGACCCTAAGGACAGAGTGGAATTGCCTCATAGGGTTTCCAAGGCTGTAAATCTTTATGGAAGGAGACTGTCTCATCTTTTTTCCCTTGGAATGGTTTGTGGGTTCAAACTAATGAACTTCTGGTTAGCAGTTGAATGCTTTAACCACTATGCCACCAGAGCGCCCTTGAGTAAAGTCAGTCAGTCACAAATGGACAAAAATGTTATGATCCCACTTACATGAAATAGGCAAATATTACACAGACCAACTGTTTATTAGTGTACCATGGGTGCAAGGGAGGGAGAATGGGGAGTCATTACTTAGGGAGCACTGAGTTTGTTAATGGTAGAATAATTTGGAAACTGATAGTTGCACAACATGATAAATATAATTAACATCGGTGAATTACATATGAAAAAATGTTGAATTGATAGTATTTAAAAAATAACTTAATTTTTTGGTTGCTGGGCATATACACAGCAAAAACATACACGAATTTAAATTTCTACATGTACAATTCAATAACATTATATTCTTAGAGTTGTGCCCATTTTCACTCTCCTTTTCTGAGTTGCTCTTCCCTCATTAACATAAACTCACTGTTTCCTAAGGTTCCCAGCTAATCTTTTGAGTTGCTATTGTCAAATATTTTGTTATGTATTTTTTTTACCACAATAAAACAAATAACACAGCTGAAAAGGGGTTCTACTGGCCAAATCTCAGACAATTTGTGAATCAAAACAATTGCAGTAATGGATGGCAATCCACTGAATCAAATAAGAATTTATGAGTCTAAAACAATACAAACAAATAGATAAAAAAGGAAGCTCTTCCTTATAGCAGGCCGTCAATTTATAAATATGCAAGAAATGACAGCATTAGAAAATCATCAGTGGATGGTAATACTTTTGGGTGAAAGCCCAAGCAACAGAGCATTTATATAATCTCACAGTATCTCTTCACAAATTGCTTTTTAATTACAAAAGGGAAAACAGTAATTTTAAAGTGGAGAAACCTGGCTATGATTACCTTAGCAACTGATGAAAGTTAATCTCCCTAGTAATGGGACAAATTAAATGTCACACGCCTCCTGCTATGAAGTCCTAAAACATCACTTCTGAGGTATTCTTGCCCCAAATGCAAAATCTGAATTTAATCAGGAGGAAACATGGGACAAACTCAGAGAGGCATTCTATAAAATAATGAGCTTATTCTTTAAAAATGTATCAATCAAGAAAAACTAAGAAAGGCAGAGGACTAGTTCCAGCTTAAGAGAGACTAAAGAAGCATGACAAATTTAACAATTACTTCTGGAGTAGTTGCTAGGCCTGCATATGGGAGGAAAGTTTATAAAGGACATTATTGGAACAACTGATGAAATCTGAAAATGAACTATGGATTAGGTATTGATTAATGTTAAATTTCCTAATTTTGGTAACTGTGCTGTATGTAAGGGAATGTCCTTGTTTTTCAGAAATACATACTGAAGTATTTAGGACTGAAGGGAGTTACCTTCAGTTACTGAAATCTCAAGTTACCGAAAAACTATACACACACACAAAGAATGATAAAACAAATGGGGCAAAATGAAGCACCTGGTTAACTCAGGATTACAGTAAAGGGTAGAGGAGAAGTTCCTTCTACTGTTCTTGCAACTTTCCGAAAACTATGTTCAAAAAAATTACTAGAAATGTTTTTAATGCCCATCAAAAATCACCAGGAGATTCAGCAAATCCCAGGAGACACTGCTGTGATAAATCAAACATATATCTTGAAAAATAGTTTTCATAGTTTGGATAACTGGCTGAAAGGCACATGGAGCAAATCAGCTTTAACAGACAATAACTTACTTTAGTAAAAACATACAAATAGTTACTATTCACTTTCAAATCCAGAAATTCCAACTTGGAAAATAAGCCATTACTTCTAAGCACAAGATGTTACTGTTCAAAGGGAGCTATGAGATCATTTTACCTAACTTCCTAGTCAAAGGAGAAGGATGTCACTCAATAATAAAGCATTCTGATTAAATATAAAAACCAACAGCAAATATCAAATTTACCTTTTGTAGCAAATCTCATGAATAACCTATTTCCTTTAGCAAGCTTATTAGCTGGACGAAGATCGTTTCTTAACAGAGATTCTTCTTCTACCTGAGACAACGTGTCCAACTTAAGAAAAAAGAACATTTTCAATATAAAAATTAAAAAGTCGCTTTTAATATCATATTTATACAGCACCAAAGTTACCATTAAGAAAGCATCCTGCCTTTAAAAGTAATATTTATCAGCATTACAGCACTAGTTCTGTTGTAGAATTTCTAAGCCACTGTCTTCCCTGACCAGCCCATCTAAAACAGTCTCCGTCACATTCTATCCGCCCCCTTCCTTTCCTTCAAAGCATTCATCATTTCCTGACATTATCTACCTATCTGTGTGTCTGTGTACTGTCTATCTCCCCTACTAGAGTGTCAGCTCCAAGAGGGCAAGCCCTTTGTTTTGCTCAATGCTATACACCCAGCACCCAGAATTTGGTATATAATAGACACACAATGAGTTTTTTTAAATGGATATACTCTGACAGTTCCAATAATCATACTTAACCCACTAGGAAATATGTCATATTGATTTCTCTGAATTTTACTGATAGATTACATTTAAAAACCATTTTGTTTTATGCAGAAGTGTGGGTACTATTCAAAGATCTCAAGATGAATCATTACGGCCACAAGGACATAAGGTGAACCCTCAGAAGGTTTAACGGTAAAACCTAGAGGAAAACATAACTTATGTTTTTATTATGAAGTCTTTAAGCTTTAAAGACAGTAAGCATTGTTTGTTTAACAATAAAACCCTACATGTATCTCTACCAACCTCTACATCACTTGAGTTCTCATCTTCAACTTCTCCTTCTTCAGCCTCATCATCATCTGAGCTGTCTTCCTGCTTGTCTAAAATGGGATGTGAGGGAAAAGATGAACCTTAACATAACTCCATCTCACATATTTTTAAAAGTTCAGTATTTGCTCCTCCTATTTACTGATAGGAGCTCTGGTAGCATAGTGACTAAGGCACCTGACTGCTAACCAGAAAGCTGGAGGTTCAAACTCACCAGCCACTCCTCAGAAGGAAGGTTGGGCAATCTACTTCCGTAGTGATACCACCTCGGAAACCCAAGGAGGGGTCACTGTGAGTCGGGGCCAACTTGACAGCACACAACAACAACAACAACAACAACAACATTTGCTGATGACTCAAAACACTATGGCTTATTTCAGAAATAACTGGCGATGTGATGCTATGCAACGCTCTGCACAGAAAACCCAAAGGCCCGAGACCAGACTGTGTAAAGAAGAGGATGTGCAGCCCAAAGTCCTTTGTGCTCAGTTACCTTTTTTATTTTTCTCAGATGATTTGTCCTCACTGGCATCCCTGCTTCGTATCTTATCCAGGGCTGGAAGAGAGCTCATATTGATAAGGGCTCGTGTAGCTGTCATTTCATCCAGCCAAACCACATTACCTAAAATAAAATGTACAGATTGTACATTTCTTCAGAGCAGAGATTGCATCATATTAATTCGATAGCCTCACCAAGCTACAGACCAGCATCAGTAAATGCATGAACAAACTAATGAAGGGAAGGATAGAAAGTTGTAGTAAAACCTCATTGATGAAATTAGCCTAGAGCTGCATTCCCAAATGGGGTTCCACAAAATTATCATTACATATTCCATGAAGAAAAGGGCTCTGTATAACCACCTGACACATACTGAGTGCTGCATGGCAATTCTTGATGATGATGGTGATGATGACTGATGTCCAACAAATTGGGAATATCCTTTATACTACTGCCCCTTACAGGGAAATGTAAAATGACATTTCCCCCATTGTGAAGTGTGAGTGAGGAGCATATCAATGGGATACAGACAACGGAGGCTTTGTAGCAACTAATTTGTTTCTTTAAGGATGAGGGTTCAGCAAGAGAAATGTCTTGAGAAGTTTTATAGAAAAAAAAAAAACCAACTATTTAACTCGATTTTAAAGGGCATTTCTCAAATTTATGTTACTCATATTTCAGTTTGGGAAATGAAGGTCTAAAGACTCTCTTCTATCACTAACATGCCACATGGCCTGGGCATATAACTTCCCTTTTGTTTTTCAGTTTCTAATAAATGTACAATATGAAGTAGTTGAACTGGAAAACTCTAAGGGTCTCTCTTCTCTAATATTTCTTAGCTACAGTTTTAATGATGTAAATCAGGGGTTAGCAACCTACAACGACCCGTATCCAGTGCACCACCTGCTTGGTTTTTTAATTAAGTCTGTAACTGTTTTATTTACATATAATCCACATACAATAAATTACATAGCTACCACATGCTTTTGTAAATAAAGTTCTATTGGAAACAGCCAGGCTCATTCATTTAATTACTTTCTATAACTACTTTCATGCTACAACAGTAGAGTACAGTGGATACAACAGACACCATATGGCCTGCAAAGCCTAAAATATTTGCTATCTGCTCCTTTACAAAGAAAGGTGTGCCGACCTCTGATTTCGATGGTTTAAGTTAAATAGGAAAAATCTTCTCCTCAGTCACATTTCTTCTTTCAACGTTGTTGTGTTGCCATCAAGCCGATTCTGACTCCTGGCAACCTCACATGTGCACAGACCTGCCCCACAGGGCTTTCAAGGCTGTCACCTTTCAGGAGCAGACTGTTAGGCCTGTCTACTGAGGCACTTCTGGGGGGGTTCAAACCGCCAACCTTTCAGCTGGTTGGTGTGCTCATCCATCTGTGCCACCCTGGCAATATACCATTGAAAGAAGGAGTCTTTCAATGAAAACACTGAATCAACATCTTAAGGGTGAATCCAGGGGAACCAGGCTGCTACTTGAGGACACTGCCTGGTAGGGCAACAGTATGGGAAGCAGGTAAAGCCAGACTAGAAGTGCATCAGGACAAGAAGTTAGCAAAGTGACCAGGGGTGAGGCCAGAGAGGAGGGAAGCAAGGAAGTAAGTTAAAAATTACAGTCAGTTCACAAACTGGACAGCTTGCAGGTTAGGGCAGCCAGGTGGTATTCCAGAAAACACAGTTCAAGGCAGGAAGAGGTAACTGGTCTAACGTCAGAGAGTTCTGGTCTAGTAATAGGCCAGAGGAACTGAAGCAGAGACAGCCCTTTGAATAATTGTATGGTAAGCTGCCACAACGAAGTCTAAAGCCCTGAAAACACAGCCCTAAGTCTATGCAGTTAGATCCATCCCTTTGTTGGCCAATGCTGGGTATTAAACAGGGCTGAATCACATATACTATACTTAGATGCCAGAAACCCTGATCTCCAACTCTGACCTGTCTTAGAATACCCATGGAGGATGAGCAAGCAGACTGGTTAAGGCATGCTGGTTCTCATCAATGGACAATGTTTTTGCTCTCCTGGGCTAAGGGCAGAAGCTAGGTGCAGGCAAGTAGTCTGGGCCATAATCATGCACCATCTTAGATCTCAAGAACTCTTAAAATCATAAATAGAAGCATATTCAACAGAAAATTTGGAGGTACTTACAGGAGGTATCATCCAACCATTCAATGTGAGCTGGAGGATATTCTTTAAAATAGGAAAAGATATCCTGGGTACTCATCTCATCTACGCCACAAATGTAGATTGTCTCCAGTCTCACTTTGGGGATTGCTAGAAAAACAAGATGCAGAAAAGATGACAGGCTTTCCCCACTGCCTAGCCCACTCCACCGGTACCCCTTTAAAGCAGTTCATGTAACAAGCGTTCAGTAATGAAGTATGTTGAAAGAAACAACAATTATTCCAAAGGAAAATGAGACATAACAACAAAGTAAACAACTTCAAGTTCTATCACAGAACAGCATTAAACACCTTAACTCAGAACAGGCAGAAGAAGCTAAGAAAGAGGAAACAAATGGTGTTGGTAAAATACACCATACCGCTGTCTTACATTAATCTGTAATGTTCAAAGCAATAATAAACCCAACAGGATTATGCATTAAACTTGACAAGCTGATTCTAAAATTTTTAAACATATGAAAAGAGAAATGTGCAATGGTCAAGGCAATTCTGAAAAGAATAAAGACATACTGCCCCTGCATATATCAAAATATAGTATAAACTAGAATAAAGAAATCCTACAAATCAGTAAGTAACACAGCCTAAAATAAAAATGGACAAAGGATATGAGCCAGCAGTTCACACATGCAAAAAATACAGAAGCCCAATAAACATATGGAGAGGTGGTTGACCTCATTAGTAATCAGGAAATGCACATTAAAACAAGACACCATTTTTAACTGACCAGATTTTTTAAAATGTATGCCTTTTAGGATCAAGTGTTGGCAGCATGGAGCCAAAGAGCCACTGCCTCTATGGTGGGAGTGTGAACAGGCATAGCCACTCTGAACGGTAATTTGGGAGTGTCTATTAAAAATGTAATTTAGCATATGCCCAAAAGCCTAGGAATTCTTCTCAGTAAACTTGTTTCCATCAAGTTGAGTCTGACTCATAGCAACCTTATAGGACAGGGTGGAACTGTCCCCCATAGGGTTTCCAAGGCTGTAATCTTTTGTTGTTGTTGTTGTTGAGAATATACAAGGCAAAACAAACACCAATTCAACAGTTTCTACATGTAGTAACACTGATTACATTCTGTAAGGTGTGGAAACATTCTCATCCTCTTTTTCTGAATTGTTCCCCCTATTAACATAATTCACTGCCCTCTAAGTTTCCTATCTAATCTTTCAAGTTGCTGTTGTCAATCTGATCCCATACAGATGGTTTTTAAAAAACCATAATACTCAAGGCAGACATTTTTCACCAGTTAAGCCAAACTACTGCTTGGTTTTAAGAAGACTTCAGGGGATATTTTTTGTTTAAGGCTTAAAGATCATCTCAGGGCAATAGTTTCAGGGGTTCATCCAGCCTTCACAGATCCAGAAGTCTAGATTCCATGAGAATTTGAAATTCTGTTCTACATTTTCCCTCTTTTGATCAGGATTCTGATATAGAATCTTTGATCAAAATGTTCAGTAATGATAGCCAGACACCATCCCGTTCTGGTCTCATGGCAAATGAGGTAGCTGTTCATGGATGCTCTTAGCCATATATTCCATATTCTACTTCTATTTCTGACACTCCTTTTTCCTCTGCTGCTTGGGGCGAACAGAGACCAACTGTTGTGCCCTGGATGGCTGCTTGCAAGCTTTTTAAGACCCCAGGCACTACAGTAATAAACTAGGAGGTGGAACAGAAGCACAAAACAAGTTACCAGGCCAATTAACTGGGATGTCTCATGAAACCATGACCCTAAACCTCCAAACCAAGAAATCAAATTCCATGAGGATTTTGGCTGTATATAAGCAGCCACAGCAGCTACTCTTTGTTGTGGTTGTTGTTGTTATAAATATGTTCGTCACACAAATTTTGCCAATTCAGTTTTTTACAGGTATACAAGTTATTGACAGCAATTGTAATAATTGGCTCTGCAACCCTACCCTTAATCAATATGACTTTTCCATCAGTGTTAAACCCCTCTTCCTCTCCCGTCCTGTCCCTGGTAGCCACTAGTAAACTCTGCTCTCAACACATTTGTAAGACTATAATCTTTATGGAAGCAAACTGCCATATCTTTCTCCAGTGGCGTGGGTGGTGGGTTGGAACCACTGACTTTTCATTTAGCAGTTGAGTGTTTAACCACTGGGCCACCAGGGCTCCTCTTCTCCTCAGTATCTACCCAAAATAAATACACATAGGTGGGTACACAAAAAAGGCTCACAGAAAGATGTTCACTGCAGCATTATTTATAATAACGCAGTAGCAATGAGAGTAATGGATTATGGTTTATCCACACTATAGGATATTATATACTTAAAAAGAAGCTCTGGTGGCATAGTGCCTAAGGCATTTGACTGCTAACCAGAGGTTGGTGGTTCAAACCTACCAGCCATTCCATGGAAGGAAGACGGGGCGATCTACTTCTATAAAGATTTACTGCCTTGGAAACCCAGTGGGGGTTGATATGAGTCAGAACTGACTCAATGGCAGAGGGTTTGATTTGGTTTTGGTATATACTCATAAACAGTGAGACAATTTATTAGATGTCATGGAACTATCTATCCTAAGACACATTGAGTAAAAAAAGGTAAGCTGCAGAAAATTACACACAGTATGATGACATTAAAAAATAAAAAACATAGAACATCACCACACATCTTCTAAGGGTACATATTTATGTATACAAATACCTAGAAAAAGGTCAAGTTGAATTCAAACCAAACTAATAATAGTTGTTACCTCTGGGGAGGGAGAAACTTGAGGGCTGTGGTCAAAAAGGAATCTTAGCCCTACTAGGGTTGTGTTTTAAAGAAATATTTTAAGTATATTATCTCATTGTAACCTTTTCTTTTGTGAAACATGCAAATACATCAGTAAGAATTTTTAAAATGATCTTTAAAAAGCTGTATATCTCCCATGTAGCTTTATGCTTAACTTATTTAAAAGAGCTAAGGCAAATGTATAAAATCATACTGTGTGCAGTGTAGTAAATTACTTAGTATGGCTTTTCTACCTGTAAGTCATTGTAAACTCAGTGGTAGAATGAGCAACTGAGGAGCTCCTGAGTGTAAATGTTATCTACCTGGGTTATTTCTGTTGGGTGTGGCACAATGCAATGTTATAGGAGGCTCACTCTCAGGTGCTTAGAATTCTGTTGTTATGATTGGTTGGTTTGGCCACTCTGCCAAGATCAAAAGGAGGCCTCCTAGAGGCAGAACTCTCTCTGACTGCTGGTTGAGGAAGACGTGCTGCTGAAAGAGACACGCGCTCCTGAGACACGCTCCTGAGACACACACTGCTGGGAAAGAGACGCAAGAGACACGCATTGCTGAGTGAGACACCGAGGGACACGCACTGCTGGGAGAGAGACTGTGAGAGACTGTCGGCTGAGGGACGGTGGGCTGGGAGAGAGATTGAGCATTCTTCCTGAACTTGAATTGTAGCCTGGTGCTTCCTTAATAAACTCCGTAATCTGTGAGTTCTGTATGGCCACTGCAGTGAATTATCGAACCCAGGAGAGAGATGGTGGGTGCTTTGGGAGGAACGGTTGGTGAAAGAGCTGGAGGGAGGCAGCATGTCTGGCCTCTCAGGAATAGGCCTTAGGCTACTGATGGTGATTCTGCCTTCCTCTTGCGGGGTTCTAGGAGGTCAGAATATGTGGCCTCCTTGCCCTTTTTGCACTGTGTAACCTCTCCACATTACATTTCTCTCTTCCCAATTTTGTCAAGAGTTCAATGTCCATCATTTCTAAGCACGCTTTTATACTTTATGTGCCACTTTTACTGAAAACACACTTTAAGTACATCTTCAAATGTGAATATTTTCAGATAGAAAAATAAAATAAATGTTTTGGACATTCCATTCTGAAGAGATGTAAGAGGTGGGCTTGTTGGGAGCCCATGGCAGCATGGCCAGCTTAAAGCAGGCAAGTCCTTCTCCTGCCAGCCTAGATTCATGAAGACAAAGATATCATCAAGACTTATGAATCCCCGCAAGTCCTTCCTAGTGAGGAGCAGGGCCACAGTGAACATATGTCCCAGTCTGAAGCAAACGAAACAACATCTAGCCTGTTAGAGTAACTCTTATATGCAGGATGAGAAACAAAAAAGTTTAGCCCAGGGAGCAGCACTCTTAGTTCCTCCAGCTGAAAGCCATGACTTTGAAAGAAAAAGAGCCTACAGATGCTTATGTGAAAGGTAACAAGAAACAAGGAGAACTCCTGGTATTAGTGGAGGGATGAGACTGAAGATCAGGGAAAAGGAATCTGGGAGGAGACTTGCTGATCATTTAAGAAGGACTTAATAAATGATCAAGGTAAATATCAAAATCATCACAGTGTTGTTCCAACAAAACACTACAACCATATTTAAAAAAAAACAAAACTTTAGGTGAGGAAATAGTTTAAAAACAAAAGGGAAAAGAGTCTAAGGAATAAAATGTCTGCCTATATTTTAACAAGATACATATATGCCTATATTTTAACATGTTTAAATACACGTCTATATTTTTACTAGAATCTAAAATCGGGCAATGGACAATCTTGTTCACAAGAAGCAGGTAAAGAATAATAATGAAAAAAAAAGATACAAAAGCAGTGTCACTGTGGAGATGATGAGTCCCAATCTGCTGGAGAATGAGGAAGGGACGTTCCCAAGAGTACCAAACCGACTGTGGCTTCACCCACTGGAGATGGGAACTTCCTTAGGCTTAACCTCTGATGGAAGAGTGCCACAGGAGAACACTCAGTACTTCCTCCCCTGCTGATATCACTGTTCAAAATAAAACAAAGCAACAACAAAGGCTCCTAGACTTATGCCCAATCGAGAAAGGGCTCATTGTTGACATGGTAGTGAACAGAAGCACTGGGGAGAAAGAACTGAACATCACTGAGTGTTGACTACGAGCTGATGGTGAGGGTTATCACATTGGATTTCCTAACAGGGAAAGAAGACAAAGAATGGCAGGTAGTGGGACACAACACTCAAGTCTTTAGGAAAGCAGACTTCAGAAAATGCAGGAAAAAGTAGCTAGTCCCAAACTCTCAGATTAGAAAGAATGAAAAAGTTGGAAGACACTAAATGTGGGTAAGTCAGAGCACCAGAGGTGATCTCAAGGAAACGGAAGGTAAGAAGAAATGGGATTTACAGGTTTGCAAAACATAGATGAGCAAAACTCATCACAGAAGACATACAGGAGAGGGACAAAAGGTAACTTCCTAACAAATTAAGAGAATGGCACAAATCTGAAAGACTAATCTCGGGCCATACAGCAATATAGAAAATGCAGATACTCCTTCAAGTGAAAAGGAAAGAAGCAGTATGACTACAAAAGGCAAAAACAAAAAGAAAGTCTACCTCCAGAAGAGATTAGAAGGAAATACACCAAACATTGCCACTGACCACATTTGAGTGGTAGACTGTGGGCAGTTTTCCTTTCACTCTATTTTCTAATTTTTTTTTTTTAGGAGGGAGGTGAACATGAATTGGTTTTATAACATCTAATGAAAAAAAAGGTTACAGTCCAGAATGAACAAAAAAACTCATAAAAATGCTGATGGGGTTTTATTTATTTAAGTGTTTGGGCAATACTGCTTTGAGAAGATGACGCAAGAAAAAAGGTAAGACTGCTGATTTTTTTGCTATTCTACTAACCGACAGTACAATAGCTATCATTAAGAAAGACTCAAAACTCAAGACTGAAGACAACAGGTCAAGAATTAATTTAAGTAAGATTCAAATCTTCCAATCCAGAATTACATCCCAATGTACTTACTCACACAGCTGTGATTTCAGAATCAGGCAGTAATCTGTGAAAGTCACAGGGAAGAAGAGAAGTGCCTGAAAGCCTTGAGAAGGACTAATTCTGTGCTGATTTTAATGAAAGGGGAAAAGGGAAATGCCCAGACCACAGACTCAAAAGCTTAATGCCATTCTCAGAAAATTCTTAAAATAGCTTATTAGACAGAATCCATCATCCCTGAAGAAATCAAGTCTTCCCCATTGGAAATGACATAAATTCACTAAGAAGCAAGCCACACTTTAAGCCAAATAAAAGACAGGCATATGAGCTGAACATTTACATTAGGTAGATACACTCCTTGGAGAGATCAATCATGGGAGAATAGAAAGGCTGTGTATGCACAGGGAGACAGCTTGGGGGACAGGAGTACATGGGAGGAAAGGACACAGTGAAGAGGTAACTATGAGGAAGAAGTGGGAGGGGAGCTGTTGCATTATGGGAAATTACAGTCAATATCATGAGACAAAATATATGTAAGCTGCTCTATGAAAAGTGAATTTGCTCTGTAAACTTTCACCCAAATCACAATTAACAAAAAAAAAAAAAAAGTAACAAGCAACAGTAACTCTATTTCTTTTTTTGAGGAGATTACTAGGCTATAAAATCCAAAGAACACCATAAATGGTATTCTATCTTGAGTTCCTTAAGGTATGTAATCAAGTTCCTCATGACAATAAAATGAAATACGTGCCTAATGATAAAAGAACAAAACTAATAATTAATGGATCAATGTTTCACGGCACGCTACAGGATTATCAATATTTATCAACAACTGGATAAGGATCCAGAAGCCATGCCTAACAAGGCTGGAGAAGACACAAAGTGAGGATTACATCTAAAATAATGAAAATAGAAGTAGGGTGAAAATTAACTCAATAGACTGAAATGGAGTCTTGAAATCAACAAAATATAATTTAGTAGAAATAAGGGTATTTTAAAAGTATCTTGGTACAGGATGAGAAAGACTATTTTGATGAATGTTATTCCTGGGGGAAAATCCTGGGTGGTTTGGTCAGCCAGAGGTGAATACAGCATAAGAATATGAAATGGCTGGGAATAAAGATAGTAGGAGCCACATTCCTGCCATACTCTCCATGAATCCAACCATACCTAGACTCCACACCTCATTTTATGAAGGACATTTAAAACTGGAAAGTCTAGAGGAGGGAGACCAGAAAGCCATTTCATATAAAGCTTAAAGGATGGGCAGAAAGCCTTTACTTCTATCACCTAAGGGTTACCATGTCAATGAAGAAAGGACTTCACAGCGTTATTCTAAGAGCCATTCACTAACAAAGAGACAGAAATGATTAGAAGGCAATTTCTGCTCAATACAAGAAGGCATCCAAAAACAAAGTGGGCTGACTCATAAATAGTTCTCATGCCATCCTTGAGAAGCATTCAGGCAGAGGCCAAAGGACCATTAAGAACTTTGCCAAAAGGCCTGTAATACTAGGCAGGTGGTTAACCTACATGGCTTCTAACATCCCTTCCAATCATGAAAGCCTTGTCTTGGGAATAAGGTGACCAAAGCTGCTGGAGTCACTCTTAATGCAGAATGGCGCTGGTCTTCCCAAACTGTGTCCCTGAATGTTGGCTGAGCAGTTAGGAGCATAAGCTTCAGTCAGGCCAGCCTTCAAACACCAACCTTGCTACTTACCTAGCTGGGCTACCCTGGACAAGTATCTCAACCTCTCAGAACCTTGGTTTCCTTATCAGTAAAATAAAAATAGTAACATTCCTTCATAGGGTGGTTGAAAAGGTAAGTTAACCATAGCAAAGTGACCAGCACACAAGCAGCATTTAACAAATGGTATGTTTTATTATTGTGGTTGTTGCTGCTAATGTGTTGTCGTTGTTGTTATGTGCCGTCGAGTCAAACCCGACTCATAGCGACCCCTCCTTGGGTTTCCGAGGCAGTATCACTACGGAAGTAGGATTGCCCAACCTTCCTTCCGAGGAGTGGCTGGTGGGTTTGAACTGCCAGCCGTCTGGTTAACAGGCAAGTGTCTTAGCCACTGAGCTGCTGCTAATAAAAATAAATAATTTAACACCTGGTATGACTGCAGAAGTCAAGATGCTTGTTCTAACTTCTTCATTTTCCCGAAAGATTTAGAAAATGGAAAATACCAGATAATGACAATAATAACTAATAATCATTGAGCACTTACTACGTTCTAGGCACCATTCTAAAAATAACATTTTGTTAGAGTATGCCAACAGTCCTTTTAAGAACTTGCCCAAAGTCACAGAGCTAGAAGTGACAGGTCAGGATTTGAATCCAGGCTTCAGAAGCCATGCTCTTAACTACCACACCAATGGTTCTCAATCCTGACTGCATATCAGAATCACCTGGGGAGATATAAAACAGTAACTATCTCCGAGCACTATCTAACCCTCCCATTCTGATCCAGGATAGGTAGCCATATTTCTCTGAAAGCTGCCCAGGGTTCAGGTACACTATCTTAGGCCATGCTATCTCCTGGATGAAGAACAGGTTGTAATGAGCACACTGCCCCATATAACATCCCAGGCAGAGCCACTGCCTACTCTAGGAATTTCTTTAAAATCACGAGATCAGGTTTGCTTTACAAAAAAAAAAAAAAAAAAAAGGCAAGAAAAATTCAGAATTTAACCCAGACAGCAATCTTATTTAGATAGACACCATGTTCCCATCTTATACACCAGGAGACTAAGACCTAAAAGGTTCAGTAACTTGCCCATAGTCAACGAACCATGACTAGATTCCAGAAGGGTTATAGGTACTCTTAAGAGCTCCAACAGAGGTGGGAACAATTTCAAATGGACGACTAGGGATGCTTCATGAGGAAGTAGCATCTGAATCAGCTGATGAAGGCATGCCCAAGACCAGGGGCAAGAAGGCACAAGGAATAGGACTAGAAGCACATAGGCATGGTGAACTTTTAAGGCAGAGACGTGAGAGGACTCAAAGGCCTCCGTGGGCCCAGACATGCAGGTGCATGAATGGCAAACTGCACACCTGTCCCTGGCCTCCCCAGGACTTTTCCTGAATCAGAAATCCATTTAAGCAAGAGCCTGGAGCCACAGCCTGTGAAGGGAAGCAAGGTCCTATTTCCAACTTGAATTAATGATGCATGAAAAAGTAAAAGTAACTTCTCCAGTTGAGCTTTGCATCCAAGTAACTATGCCCACTAGGATGGGCTGAGGAGGGACATGGTTTGGGTCTATTATATCTTATTATATATTATAAAGCAAGACTTTGGAGTGAGATAAACCTGGATTCGAATCCTGACTCCACCTCTACGTTGCATGACCCTGGGCAATTTATTAAATTTCTCTGAGCCTGTTCCCTCTTTTGTAAAACAGGAATAAAAACTATATTCCTTATAAGGTTGTTGTGAGAAATGAATAAGTACACATGCAATGTGAACACAGTGCCTCGTAGCTATTCATTCATTCAACATGCTTACTGAACTTTTGTTCTCAACCAAGCAAGCCTAGAGAAACTCACAGCAGAGCACAGACCTGAACATGTATCTGAGGTCTGCCTATCAACACAATAGAGGGAGACCTTCTGCATTGATAAATTTACATTAGACTGGAATAATAAATACGGCTGTAGATTCACTCAAAAACTAGTGATAGTTTTCCCTCTTATTTATAAATTGTGTGTACACACACACACACACACACACACATAATTTAAGGTGAGTCCGAGGGAGCAAAAAACTTTCCCTAACAAAAAACAAAACTAAAATCACAAGCCAAACCACAGAATTATAAAACCCAGGGCAAGATTAGCTTAGGGTTTTCTGACAACAGTGTTACTGTGTTGTTTATGTGTCATACATTCAGATAGAGAAGTATTAATGGTTTCTCCCCAACCCCAATACTGCTCCAACTCCCCTAAAAGAAGGTCTGTGAGATACATCTTCCTTACATTTAAAGGCAAAGAAAAGTTAATACCTCTGATAAAAGCAGAAAAAGAGTAAGGATCTGTAGCAGCTCTGGCTTTCTCTGGACCTACTCAGACAATTTAATCTCATTTTCTCCAGTTCTAACATCTGAGACACAGCTAACAACATCTCAACTTTACACAGGTGACCTGAGAAATGGAGACGGCACACGTTTCTTTCTTTGGGAGTATTTGGATGAGTATGGGACAAGCAAAACAAGCCCGGAAGCAGGAGGTGATGCTCAGGGAAAAGTCACTCTTAGGGAAATTCCCCCAATATATCCTGTACCTTTCTTCATCATGTCTCGGTCCAAGGCTACATTTCTTTGGGCAAGATTTACTTCTGACCGAAAGTGGAAGCGTTTGGCTCGCTGTTCTTTCTTTTCAATTGCTTCCTAGAAAGTACAGAAAAAAATCAAAGTAGTGAAACACAAGGGAGGAAAGTTAAATCACAAACACAACGTGATGCATCAGTGATAACCCTAAAATAAATTTTGAAGGGCAACATTGTAGCTTGAATAATTCTAGCAGAGAATTAGATATTCACATTCCATACCTGGGATGGGATACACTGTTATAATCTGGTAATAATCTTCATGATGACATAGTGCCTATCACAATGCATAGGACATAGTAAGAGCTCAATAAATTATTTGTTGATGGAATGAATAGTATTTTAGAGCTTGTGAAACCCTCTGACATTTATTATTAACAATCATGGGAAAAAAATTACAACTAAGCAATTGCATCATCCCAATCTTCCACGTGTAAAAACTGAGGCATAAAAAAGGGAGGCACTTCAGCTAGAAAGGGGTAGATCTGCCGAATCCAGTGCTATTTCTAGGAGCTCCCCCACCTCCAGCACCACCATTCCACATCCTCTGTATGCATGGTAATCACACCTATCATGCTCTTCCACATCAAGTCTGCCTGAGCAGCCATTCCCTGAAGCTAGTTCCCTGTTTAAAAATAACACTGATGCCAAGAATCTCTCTCCTCCATTTTAGCCCTGTCTCTGTAGAATTGCCAGTTTTCATCTTTAAGTGACTTGAAGCTTCCCTGAAAAACAAATAGTCAGCTTTGTAAGTTTTTTCCAAGAGCTAAAATAATCCGGGTCCAACCATGGGTTTCTTTCTGATAGCTCTTAGAACCCTTGGCTAATTTTGTATTGACTTTGCCACCCTAATTGAAGGTCTGAGTTTAGAAAGCTTGTGGGGACTGGTAAAGCAGCAACACTTCTGTTATTTCCCAATAGCTAAGCTAATTTTCTTCACTGAAGTCTTCCTAGTGCAAACAACTTATCTATCTTCCTTTGATAATAACTTAAGTACCAATTCTGGGACTACTACCCTTTTTCCTATGTATTTATTCCATATAACGGCAAACTCTGTAGGATTAAGAATAGTACAATCTACTTTTCAATTACAGCAAGAAAACAATGCACTTCATTGCATATTCTTGCTTGTCTAATAAACGATGATCAGTTCTCTTTTGGCCTTTAAACAGTGTGAGAAAGCATGAGATGAGATCCAGATAAAATATCAAAAGGTAAGGATGACATATGTAATTTTTATTTTTGCTTTTATGCATCTAATACAGTATTATTATTTAAAATTGTTATTCATAATTTACTTCAAATTTGATTGCATGCATTAAAATCAGAAAGAATATCTAAACTAGATACAAAGCAAGAGATATATATGGACCGCTTATAATAAGACAAATAACAGGTTTGGGTCTGTGTGACATTGCAATGGAGCTGGTAATCTAGTTAATAGAAATTACTAGTTAAAAGGCAACACTCTCAGGTACTGAGACTAATTTAGTTACTTGGCCTTCGGAGTTTAGACAGTCACGCAATCAGAAACCCTATTTTTCTAAGCCTGTACCCTGTGAGAAATAAAGACATTTATCAAGGGCCTACCATGTGCCAGGCACTTTTCATCTTTTGTTTCATTTAAAATGGACACAGCACACATTTTGAAAGAATTGACATAGTATTAAAAAGCATTGCCAGCTTTTTCTTGGAAATGGTTAAGTACAGGCATCTAGGTACAGTGGTTTTATCTTTCTGTGGATATAGCATTGCCTGGATGTCTTGGGCATGCATGAACACTGCTTTGCACAACATGCAACTTAAATAAATAAATAAATAAATCCAGGAACAAGGGGGAAAAAAAAAGAAGGTAAGAAATAGTTACAGCTGTGTTATATCCTGGGGACCAAGTTCCTAGGATACTTATCAAACTGAATAAATCATGGTCTGTTTTACCTTGGAGGTGACATCAATTCCAGTGATGAAGCTGCCAGCCTTGTTTTCATATCTTCTACTGGTGTCCTAACACAAAGGGGGGGAAGGGTGAGAAATGCTGCCAGCCACTGAGGAAAACCCCATGATATAAGACAGCCTGACAACTAATTCTTTTGGGACAATCATTTTACCAATATCTCTCCCACCCCCAACAACCCCTTATTATGAGGAAGCCTGTCCCAGTGACTCTTTCTAGATCAGAGCTTGTGCAAAACCTTGTGTAATTCCACCAACTGATGATATCCATGTAAGTGTGACTCTGAAAGCTTCGGAGAAAAATGTCGAAGATGAGGCGCAGTAACTTCTTACCTCCCCAACCCAGACCGGTCAAATTCCCCATGCTAGGCCACCAGATGGAGCACAAGTCTCTACCAAAATGCAGAAAGTCCAGATTCTCCTAGAGTTCATGGGGAAGACAGCATAGTGCAAGGAAAAGAAGATGGGGTTTGGACACAGAGGATTAAAGTCGCAGTTGAGAGGTTCACTAATTACACGACACTGTACAATTTGTGGACCCCTCTGGGCCTCAGTTTCTTCCATGGTACCTGCCTAGCCTTCATGACCTCTTTCACTACTCTCCCACTTACGCTACAGAACTTTCCATTTCTCTAATATAACATCTCTTTCCCATTTCAGAGCTTTTGCATTTGCTGTTGCCCCTACTGGGAACACTCTGTTCCAAATCTGCACATTATTGGCTCCTTTTTGTCATTTAGGGTTCAGCTTAAATGTCACTATATCAGAGGGCTTCCCTGATCATCCTATCACATTCTGCACCCTGCATTCTATATCCATTAACATGTTTTGTTTTCTTCACAACACATAATACTACTGGAAATTATTTGTCCATTTGTTTATTACCAGTGTTCCCCAACTAGAACATAAACTCCAGGAGGGAGACTGATCTTGATCTTGATCAAGCACCTAGGACATTGCCCGGCACACAGTAGGGGGTGCAACAAATAGATGCTGAATTGAATAAATGAAAGGATGACAACACCAACTTCACCACAGCAGTGCTATTTAAATAGTGTAATGTGGTAAATGGTAAACTGCCATCATGTTCATTGTTGTCATTTTTCCCATAACTTCAATTTAAAGCAAGACATGCTCTTATGTGGTAAAAAGTTGTTTATGTTAGATGAGAAATTAAGTACATGAGAGGATCATCCAGGCCTGAGATCAGCTGTCTGAGAACCGGACATTGGACTACCAAAGCACAAGCAAAGCGCCTCTCCTTACCCCACCGTGAAAAAAGGGAGGCCAAGGACCACTACTGGCCCAGATACTTGGTTTCATTAGGGGTTAGATGCTGGGGCGACGATGGCAGATCCTATACCGCAGTGGAGCTGCGACGGGGCAAGATGACCCTCAAACCACTACAGAAAATCCAGTGAGTTTCTGCTGCTGACAAACCCAGTCCTCCCAAGAGAAGCAGCGAATGCCATGTTTAACACATCAACGACACCAGAGCAGGACCCACAAGAGATCTGGATGCAGGGGCCACCCAACAGTTCCTTCTGGGCCGCTCCTGGTTACGTTCCCGCCCGCGGCTTCCCCCATTATCTCAAGCCCAACCCCTCCTCGCTCACTCGCGTCCACAAACAGGTTCAGAGAGGCAGCGCAAAGGGGTGTCCTCAACTATCCCCCAGCTTTCTCCCATCTCCTCCAGCCTCCTCTACACCCACTTCCGGGCGCCCGGCGTCCTTTCTCTCGCTCCCCTTCTTCAAGCCTGGCGCCCCCGCCCCCCGGGCGCTCGCTCCCCTCTCTCCCCCTCCCTCTACTTCCCCGGCCTGGTCGCCGGTCGTCTCCCGCTCCGGCTCCCTCGGGCGCCGGCACTCCCTCTGCGACCTCCTCTTCGACCCCCGCCCCCCGCCCGTACCGGGATCAGTTCCTTCAGCGAGCGCCGCACCGGTACGATTTCCAGTTCGCCTTCCTCCACCTCCATGGGCTCCGGTTCGCCACGCTCCAAACCGGATTCAGCCTCTGGCGAAGGGAGCCCCAGGACTGGCCCCACCGGGGCCTCCCCCTTCACAGACACTCGCAGGCTCCGTACGGCCGCCATCGCCGCCCGCGGGCCACACCACTGAGAGCCCGCCCCGCATACCCGCCGGCTAGAGCGCCGCCACCACCGGCCACAGAGGAGCTGCCGCCGCTACCCAGAGTATCGCCTATTCCTCCAGAAGGTAGTCCTTAGCTCCGCCGCCCCCTGGTGTTGGAGGAACCGCCGCCCGCTGGGGCGGGACCTGGTGAACGGGAGGCGTGATCGAGTGAAGATGGGGGCAGGGCTTGCTAGAGAGGATGGGACTCGGAAGAGACCTGTGCTGTCTGGGGTTAGAAAACAGCTATGCCTTAACCTGTGCTAAAAGCTAAGTTTACTGAGAAGTCACTATGTGCCAGATAATGTTCTGTGTGATTCAATTCTTGTAACAACCCTGTGAGGTAGGGACACCTGTTATTATCCAATTTACATAACAGGAAACTGAGGCATCGAAATTTATCCAAGGGACATGCTATTTTAGGGGTAAAACCTAGAATGAGATCCCAGAATGAGCTTCCATTCATTACTTCTGTGCAGTCTGTATATTGCCTTGACAACCTTTGTCTCTTTTTAATCTCCCAATAATTGGCCCATCAGACATACCCCAAAACTAAGACGCCCAGAGCACTGTGACCTGCCCTGAGGCCAGAGGTTGAGCCCAAATTTCCTGATTCTTAAGGGCTCTATGCACTATAGACCTCTGAGCATGGTTTCCTCTAGACATTTCTAACAATAACCTGGTTGAGGGAGAGAAGATGTCCTCTAGGTTTCCGGCGCGGGACACTAATCAGATTTTGCTTTGGATAATGGTTTTGCACCTTCGTCCTGGTATAAGTTTGGGCAAGTCTGGTCCTTTTCTGGATCCCAGTTTGCCCATCTGAGGAGAGAGCAGGGGGGACTCTAGTGTCTCAAAGGCCTTTCCACCTCTGATCATCTGGAAAAAAAGCCAAACTCTGCCACCAAGTCGATTCTGACTCATAGCGACCTCCTTTGGGTTTCCGAGGTGGTAAATCTTTACGGAAGTAGATTGTCCAGTCTTCCTTCCGTGGAGTAGCTGTTGGGTTTGAACCACCAACCTTCTGGTTAGCAGTCAAATGCTTTAGGCACTATATCACCAGAGCTCCTTGCTCTGACCATGATGGAGCAAATCATTATAAACCAAAGGAGAAGATGGTCAACATTGGACACCTGGGTTCCAAGCTGTATGGCTCTGCCCCTTACACCTTATTTGACCTTGGGCAAGCTACTTAACCTTAGAAGGCTCAGTTCCTTCATCAGTAAAATGGGACAATATTACTACATCTAAAGGAGATTGTGAGAATTAAAGGAGATAATTATATGTAGATGTAGATGGTATAGTGCCTAAGGCATTTGACTGCTAACCAGAAGGTTGGTGGTTCAAACCCACCTGCCACTCCTCAGAGGGAAGACTGGGCAATCT